CGGAACTGGCTGCCTGAGATTATTGGGGTTGGCCTCTCTCATCTCGTCCTCAACAATCGTCGCAACTCTACCTCTGCGTCTCCACATCTTGCTATGAACGTTCTCCGTATGTGTACTCGTGGGGCTTGCATTCGTGCTCGCTTCCATTCTCCTCCTCGTGGTTGTATATTTGGGTGCTCTTGCGTCGAGTATGGGTTTGGTGGTATGTCCACAGACTATGATGATCGTCGTCGCTATAAGTTCTGTCGTCGCTTCCGCGAGATTTGTGTCAGATGGGTGGGTGCATTGTTCTCCATTGCTCCTGTGATGATGCCTTGGATTTCAACCGCTATCCTCCTCTATCCTCTTCCGTCTGAGGTTTCGTTGCTGTGTGCCTGCATGTGCGATGCCTTTTTTTACACGCGCATCACGCTGTCCGTCTTCAGATCTCCTCTGATGTCCTGAATGTTTTTGAAGCGCGGCTCTGAGTGATTACTTGGCGCTACCCCCGTTGTTGCGGCTGTGTGGGGGCCTGTCCTGCACGGCCCTGGGCGGCTTGTGCCTGGGTAGGCGGCTGGCGTCGATGGCTATTCGTTCGTAGCGCCTGCGCTCGGGTGCTCGCCGTATCGCAACGACGTAGGTGGTGATCATCGCTAGTCGCCGCCGCGCAAGGTTTGGGGTCGCCTCCAGACGCGTTTCTTCACTTAATACGGGAGCGGCCCACCGAGACGTGTGGATGCCTGGTGGCCGAGTGTGCTCCTGAACGCTGGCCTTCGGCATTGGCCGCTGTGCCGCTGGGGTGGTGGTGCGGCGGTCATCATGGGCGCGCGGCCCTTGGACTCCGAAGCCTCTGGAGACCCCTTCTGGGTCTTTAAAAATCATGTGCGTCCCAAGCTTCGTTACCACGGCCCGTATCGAGAAATCTTCATATCCGACGTCATATGCTTGTAGCCGGGACCTCGAAACTCCAGCTTGGGTCCAGGGCCTCCCGGGATTTTCGCCAGGCTCTGAAGACAGCCGCGGGGGGGTCCCAGCGAGGCTCGGGATCCAGCATAAGACGCGCGCGAGTATGCGAGGAGGGACCCTAAAGGCAGCTTCGACGCCTCCAAGGCGGCTCAGGAAAACTCAGAATGGCTTCCAACAGACTCCCTAGACGGGTCCAGGGGGGCCCTCACAGGAACAAGCCATCGACTTTCTTTAGACATGTTAATAATTTTAGGGTTCTTGTTTTCCTCTGCTCAGGGCGCCCATCATGACCCAAAACGACAGGATGACCCTAAAAGGCGCCCAAGACGGCTTCAGAGGGCCCTGGAGAGCTCGAAAAGGCCCAAGAGAGCCCCGAAACGGCCACGTGGGGCTTCGGATGGCCCTGTGGCGGCTCCAGGAGGCCCCCGAGACGGCCCAAAGGAGCCCAAGACGGCCCAAGAGAGCCCCCAAACCACCCAAGGGGCCCCCAATACAATCCACATTGGCCCGAGCAAACTTCCCAGATGGCCCAGGACCCCCCCGATCCTCACCACGCGGGAAACGTTTTGATCAGTTCCTCCTGGGGTTGACCAGCTAAGCTTCGCGCGGCCCGCTTAGCTTCGACTGGAAGAGGTGCGCTCTCGACCCGCGGATCAACAAATTGTTCATGGTTGGGTCGACGTTGCGGGGGCACGCGCGGCCACCTTTGGCCCAGATGCGTCCTCCCTCCTCCATGTGCCTCCCTCGTCCTTCTCTCCTGCTCTATCCGCCTCTCTCCACTCCGCTCGTCCTTCCAGCGCTCTCCTCTCCCCTGCCTCCCGGCCCTGCCCTCCTCCATCTCCCGCCTCCTCTCCTCTCTCTCCCTCTCTCTCTCACGCTCGCTCCCGCCTCCCTCTCCCTCTCCTGCCTCTCCTCTCTCTCCTGCTGCTCCCCGTGGCTCCTGCCCCCCTGCCTCCTCCCTCGTGGGTGGACCTTGCTGGTCGGTTCGGAGCGCTGCCGGGCGGTGCCCTGGGGCCCCTGCCCCCGTCCTTTTGGGGCGTCGGCCGAGCCTGGGCAGCCGCGTAGGCCAGGCGGTCTGGTACCGAGCTGGCCGTGCGTGTGTCCGTGGCCGTGGCATCGGGCTTCGGTGCCCAGAGGCCGCCTGCGCGCGCTGCTCGTGGCGAGCAGTTTTCTCTGCCCGAGGTCTCCTGGGCGATCCTCCCCCTGGTCAGGGGAGCAGCGGGGGAGAAGGCCAGTGCCGCAGGTCGATGCCTCAGGTCTCGAGGTATGCAGCGCGCTCCAATTCCCGAGCGTGTGGTGTGCACCTGGATCTTGAACGCGCGGGAAGCGCGCGACGGCTCGGTTCAAGCACAAACATTCACGCAGATATGCATGCATGTATGTATGCTTCCATGAGCATGTTTAGATATCGAGATAGATGAGGGAGGGAAGGAGTGAGGGAGAGATAGAGAAAGAGAGCGAGAGAGAGAGAGAGAGAGACCGTGAGAGAGAGAGAGAGAGAGAAAAAAAAACGATACCGTACATGTACGCAAATGGACAATAATACATATACAACACATGATAATTGAGAGAGAGAGAGAGAGATAGGGGCAGAGAGGGAGAGAGGGATATGTGAAATCTATGTAAAATATCGTGAGAGAGGGAGAGAGATAATTGTACATAAAGAGCGCGATCAACAAAACAAGAGAGAGAGAGAGAGACAGAGAGCGATAGAGGGAGAGAGAGATAGAGAGAGAGAGAGAGAGAGCAACAAAGAGAGAGAGAGAGAGAGAGTTAGGGTGCGCGTGCGTGTGCGCGTTATTGTCATCGTCTTTGCAGCGCCCCTTTTATTGCTGGCTGCAAACCAGTGGTGCGTTGGAGGGTAAAAAGTGCGGGCGTGTGCTGCATCCCTCCCTCGCAGGCTTTATCCTTCCGTATCTTCTTCGAAGCAGCCCCCCCGTCTCTATCTTCAAACATCCTCTCTCTCCTGTGCTCTTCTCTCCCCTCCTTCCTCTCTGACCTTTTTTTCCTCCCAGTTCTCCTGGTTCGCAGTTTTTCGAAATGCTTGAAGCGCCTGCTTCCAAATCGCGATTCATGATGGCAGCGATATTCAAGAAGACGGTTTTCACTTTCTCCGCGTACGCGCGTCATACATCGGAATAGGGGCGGCAGGGCAGGAGGAGAGGAGGGGTGAGAGTGGAGGGATGGGGTTTGGGGGTGGCGCGGGGGCGGGAGGGGAGGAGTGGGCGGGATGTGATGGGGAGCGGAGGGGAACGGGAACGGGGGAGAGGGGGTGAGGTGGGAGCGAGTGGGCTTGTGGAGCCACGGGTGCAGCGACCGTGCCGGTCGCAGACAGCGTGAAGCTCGCAGAGGTTGTTCCTTCAACCTTCGGCCCCACCCTCAACCTTCGGCCACAACCACTCAGAAGGGGATGGCGAGGCGAGGCGAGGCGCCAGTCAGTCGTCCCGGGGAGTACGGCCCTGCGAGAGCCTGGCGGTGGCGCCGGATGGCCGAGAAGAAATGTTGATCGAGGGGGGAGAAGGGAGGGGGGAGGACTCAGGCCTGGGTGTTGGAGGTCTGCGCGCAGTCCCCAACATTGACGTGCCCCGGAAGGGTCGGGGGCGGCAAAAAGGGGGGTGATGACTATAGGGGGGGATGGACATCAGGGCGTGGGCCGGGATGTCCTTCCAGACTCCACGGCGCCTCTTCTTGCTCCACTACGTCCCTGGCCCCCCCCACCCCCCTGGGCCGCGCACGTGCCGCCGGCCAGGATTTGCGCCCTCCCCCCCTCTTGGCCGCCCCCCTCTTAGCCGCCCCCCTCTCGGCCGCCCCCGGAAGGGGGCGGGGAGGAGCAGAGAAGCCGGGCGGCGGGCCCCGCACTCGCCGCACGGCCGCCGGCGCCCGCGCCGAGCCTCGGCCCGCGGAGCCGAGCTCGCGCCTCGCCCGTCCGCGCGGCAGGAGAAGGTGCGCGACCGCGTCAAGCAGCTGCAGAAGACCGACATGGTCGGCAAGGACGCCGCGCGGTCCGTGCCGCTCGGCGGCGGCGCCAGGGCCGTCCTCTATAGGGGGCCACACATGCAAGCCCTATGCCCCTGCCCCCCACGATTTCTGAGGGAGGGGTGGGGTTCACTTCGTTCGGGGGCTCCCGAGCAAAGTAACCCCCACGCTCCCCCTTCAGAAATCGTGGGGGGTAGGGGTAGGGTTCGCATGTGGCCCCCTAGTTATCACCACTGATCGTGACCATCGTGGTGGTGGCGGTGGTTGCCGTCGTCGTCGTCGTCGTCGTCGTCGTCGTCGTCGTCGTCGTCGTCGTCGCCGTCACATCGACATCGTCGGCGTCGTCTCCGTCGGGCTGCTTGGTGGCGCGTCTGCCGCCCCCACAGCGTCTGAGAAGCCCGAGTCTCGCCGGCGGAGCTGGCCAGAGACGTCATTGCGCTTGCAATCGTGAGGTGACGTGGTGTCGTGGCCTCATGGTGTCGTGGTGTGTCGTAGTTTCTGGTGGTGTCGTGGTGTCATGTGGTTTCGTGATGTGATGGTGTGGTGGTGTCGTGGTGTCTTGGTGTATGGTGGCGGTTGAGCGTCACGGGGTGTTGTGGTGTCGCCGTCGCACGTTTCCGCGGCCAAGTTTTGCACCGCCAGTGTCCTAGCTGCACGGTAGCTATGTGCAGATTGCTGTTGACTGTTTTTTGTAGTAGATGTTTTGTTCGTGCGGGATGAAGTAGGATGAATTGTCAGCTGTATCTTTCCCCCCCACACACAGTGCTGACACGTAAGGGTTCTTACGTGTGTGTGTGTGTGTGTGTGTTCCAAGGAGCTGTATGAGTGTCCAGAGGATTCGCCACGTTCCAGCTTGTTGCCGCCCGTTGCCGCCTGTGGGGGTGTCCTGGTGATTCGCCGCGTTCTGGCCCGTGGCCGCCCGTCGGTGATCGCTGTTGTCTGCGGGTGTGTCCCGAGGATTCGCCACGTTCCCGCCTGTTGCCGCGCGAGGCCGCCCGTGGCTGTGTGCCGAAGGTTCGCCTCGCTGCCGCCCGTGGCCGCCCGTGGGCGCCCGTGTGGGGATGCCGAGGATTCGCCACGTGGTCGCCCTCTGCAGCCCGTGGCCGCCCGTGGGGGTGTGCCGCGGATTCGCCGCGTTGCCGCCCGTTGCCACTGGTTGCCGCTTGCGCTTCGAAAGTGCAGTATCTCTCTGTTAGGGGTCCACGCTGGCAAACGCTAGTTGAATTGAGTTGATTCGGACTAAGGAAGTATGACTCCCTACATAACGCATGTTTTATGGAGTCTGAGCTGCCTCATTCCCGACGCAGCAATGGAGATGAGGGATCCGAGCTGCTTTGAGAACGTGGTCCTGCGTTTGAAACTGCGACAGATGTGCCGCCCGCGTTCCGTGCTGGGCCGCGCCAAGCCGTGATGAGCCGTGCCCGTGTGACGTGCTGCGCCTACGTTCGAAACAGCGGCACTGTGCCGCCCGCGTACCTGGCCGTGCCCGAGTGTCGTGCCGTGATGACGTGCCCGCGTGCCGTGCTGGAAGCCGAAACTGGCGAATAACTTTCTGTCGCGATTGCTTTATGACGCGAGGATGTCGGGGCTCATCCTGCTCAGCCGTTTGGGCTCGAGCCATCCTGGCCAACGCCCTCCCGCCCGAGCCGATGGCCAATGGCTGCGGCGCGCAGGCCTGGCGCGCCCCCGCGAGGCTGCTCGGGGCCCCCGCGGGTCTGGCGCTCGCGCCGGCGGCCGCACCTCCTTCGCATGCGCTGGCGGACGCTGGCGGCATGCTGGGCGCGGCGGCGGCGCGCGCGCTGCGCGGCCGCGCGCAGCGGGCGGCAAGGCTGCGGGGGCCCTCGGCGCTGCCCGCGTGCGCCGCGCTCCTCGCGGCCGCGCGCGCGCGCGCGGCGCCGGCGGCGGCGGCCTTCGGCGGGCCGCGGGCGCCCGCGGGGGCCGCCGGGGGCCCGCGGCGGCCCGCGGCGGCCATTGAGGCGCCTCGGGGGCCCCGCGGGGCCGCGGCGGCGGGCGGGCGCGGCGGGGAGGGCGAGCTGGGCGCGGCGGGCGGGGGCGAGGGGGGCCCCTGCGGCGCTGCCGAGGGCCCCCCTGGGCAGGACGAGGGCCTCCGTCCATGCGAGAGGAATCTCGGGCAGCGCCGAGGGTGGGGGCGCTCGCCTGCCGGGGGGGTCACCACTTCAAGGGAAGGATCGAGGAGAAGGAGGAGGAGGAGGAGGAGGAGGAGGAGGAGGAGGAGGAGGAGGAGGAGGAGGAGGAGGAGGAGGTTGGACGTTGTTAGAGCCTCTGGGAGTGCTGGGGGCTTTGGGGGAGTCGAAGGGAGTGCGCCGTTCCCTGGAGGAGGTGGCGACCCCCTCAGCAGGGTCCATTTCGATCCGATCGATCCGATCCTCCGGCATCGATTTTGGCCAGTTCGATTGGACTCGAGTTCGATGCTCTTGCGATCCGATGCGGCCCGAAGCTTGCATTGGCGATGACGCCATGGCGATGGCGTGCATCCTGGAGGGTGCTCTTTTACTCCCGGGCGACAGCTGGCGTTACCGGGGGGAGGATGTGGGGGGGGTAAAACGCCACGCTTCGCGCCAGCGCCGTCTGGGAATGCCTACAGCACAACCCGTAGACAGCTCGGAGGTCAGCCCGAATCGTGACGCTACCTGGGGGGAGGGGGGCGGTCGGCCAGGGCCGGCCACGGCCAGCATCGCGGACAGAGTCGATCCGATCCCGACCCCGTGCCGATGCAGCCCGATCGGACGCACGCCGTGAGCCGAGCCGAGCTCGACGGTGCGATGTGCACTGGCTGCTCCTGCATGCCAGCGGTGGCCCCCCCCCGCCCGTTGGCGCTGCCCGCGCAGCGCCTGCGGCCCGAGGAGCGCAGGGCGTGGAGGCGCGCGTGAAGTCGGGCCTGTCCCCCTACAGGGGGATTTTCGCAGAAAAAAATAAAATATTTTAAAAATAGTCGTGGGACTATTTTTTGAGTATTTTTTTTTTTTTGTAATTTTTGGAGCACTTTTGGATTATTTATACCTTTTCGTCGAAAATCCCCCTGTAGGGGGACACGCCCGACATAAGGCGCGCGCAGAAGCGGGAGCGGCAGCGGGAGCGGCGCCGGGAGCAGAGGCTGGAGCGGCAGACGGGGGTCCGGCGAGGGGGGGCGGCGTGGGGGCGGCCCGGAGGGGTGGGGTTATTAGTGGAGGCCCGGGTACAGTCGGGGCGCTGGAGAAGGAACCCTTTTCGTTGGGCAGGGGTTCGGTGCTCCTTGATTGTTTTACAGTTTGCCTTGGGTTTTCCTTTGGTTTTCGATGGGAAATCGAAGTTCAACTTGTGGATGAGAGGGGCCTCGTTGCTTATTTCGGGTTCCTTGGGTCAACGCTCCGACTGTATGGGCAGCAGCACCAACACAGGGGGTCTGCCTCCACAGGGAGAAGAGGATCCTCGATGTCGGTGTCGGTGGTAATTTTTGTTGGCCACCTGGGAAGCCCGAATCTTACCACCACCACCGAGACCGGGATCATTGTCCCTCGGTGGAGGTACACCGCCGATGTCGGTGTTGGTGTCCACCTCCTGGCCTCCGAGGTTACGCTGGGGTGTGATTTGCGATCTGCGTCGCTGCGACGTGGAGGCACCACGTTGCATTCGTCGGGCCTCCTCGGGGCGCGGCGGAGAGCTCTGTCGAGAACCTCGCCCTCTCCCCAGGGTGCGGGCTGCAAGCCGCACCCTTTGCAAGCCACACCCTTCGGAGTCGCCGACGGGGGTTGGAGGTTCGAGATTTTCGGGCGTGCTCGTCAGTTCTCGACAGTCTCCCAGCCTCGGGGTGCCTTCCGGCAGCTGCGCCTCACCGAGGGCGTGCTGGGGGTGCCCAGATCGTCTCGAATGGCCGCCGGAGAGCCTGGAGGTCATTCAAGACCCATCCCGATATCCCAATACCGATATCTCTGGGAAAAAGTTATCCTTCCAGGACCCCGAGCTTCAGCCCAGGGTGCGATTCTCACCGTCATAGGGTTATGACCCGACAGCCAGGGTGCAACGCTAGAGGGACAGATGGACAGATGGAAAGCGGTCTGCAGACCGTCCGCGGCGGGCCAGGCCCCCTGCGGCACTTGAGAAGAAGCGCCTGGCAGGCCAGGCCGCAAGGGGTGAGGGGGGGCCCAGGAAAGTCCAGACCGCCCCAATGGGGTTGACGCAGATGGGGTCAGAGGGTCGCGGCGCATCGGCGATGCATCGGCGATGTGGCTCGATGCGGAGCCCGATTGTCTCCACGCCAGTGGCGCCGATGCATTGTCGACGTCGCCGACGCATCGGCGATTCATCGGCGGTACATTGGCAATGCGGCGCGATCCGCCGATCCCATCTACTGGGACCCCATCCGGGAGGCCTCCAGATAGAAAGGAGTATCGGTCGGACTCCGACACGAGTGCGCTGTGTAGTGTGCATTGTGCGTGCGCCGCTTCCCCGCGGGCAGCGCGCACGCCGAAGCACCCTTGATAGTCCACGTGCCGTGGCGAGCGCTGTCTGTCCATGCCGCTTGGCTAATCAACAGCATGCCGCAACGTGCTTCCACTGCACGCTCCGGTCGGACGTGCGCCTCCAAGGGGGGGACGCCCCGTGCTCGCGCGTCCGTCTGCGCCCCGCGGCACGGAACCCGCGGCGTGCAGCTGCTCTTCGGTGCCGCCGCCGGGCGCCTGCCTCGATGCACTGGCGCCTCCTCCGCGGGGAGGCGCTGGGAAGATCGGCCGCCCATCCCCGCGCACGCGGGCGCAACGTGGCGAAACCTCACCGATGCGCAACCTCCCCCCCGCCCGTTGCTACCGCCCCCCCCCGTCCGACCCGAGAAGAAGAGGATGGAGGCGGCCGACGCGGCGTGGGCCGAGATGAGCGACGAGGAGCGCGCCTCGATCCTGGAGCGCGCCGCCGCCTCGCGCGAGCGGGACGCGGCGCGTGAGGCGGAGCTGAGGGAGAGCCTGCGGTGGGCACACGAGCACGGGTCGCCAAAGGTCCTGATCAGCTGCAGCTTCGCGGAGGCCATGGGGCCGAGGGAGCTCACGAGTGGCGAACGTATCCGTATCCACGTCCCCGCAGTCTGGATTCCGTGGCGCGGTCCCGCCGATGACGCGGTCGCACGGGCACGTTCCGAGCGGGGCATCCGCCCTCAAAGCGCCCCGTATCTGCGGGGTCGCGGCCAGGGGGCCTGGTCCGCGAGGCAGCGGATGCGGAGATGTGCTTCGCCCACGAGGAGCAGTTCTCGCTGGCCAAGCAGGCACAGATGGCCTACATGTTCCTCCGCGACCAGCGCTCCGAGCTGCAGCTGCACCTGACGTCCGTCGGTCCCGCGAACCCCGTGCTGCCCTTCCTGGAGGACCTGGGATTCCGCAAGTGGCTGGTGCACTGCCAGCAGGCCCCCTACTGGGAGCTCTTCGACAGGTCCAGGATCGTGGTGCTTTCGCCCGACGCGGACGAGGATCGGCGGCGCGCGAGGGGGGGAAACGAGAAGGAGAAGGGCTTCTCAGAAGGCGGTGGGACTTCTCAGAAGCTCTAATGCCTTCTGAGAAGCTCCCTGTGTCTCCTCGGGGGAAGGCTCCGAAAGCCTCTCAGAAGGCCAGGGGCAACTTCCGAGCCTTCTGAGAAGGCCCGCCCCTCCATTTCCCCCCTGGGCGCGCCGCCAAGAGGACCTCGAGGAGCTGTCTCGGGAGGACATCTACGTGATCGGCGGGCTCGTCGACCGCTTCGTCCTCAAGGGCACGGTCCGGCGCCAGGCCGAAGAGCACGGGGCGACCAGGCTGCGGCGGCTGCCGCTCCGGAGGTACGGCCCACGAGGCGCACACCCGGTGCTCAACGTCGACTGCGTGGTGCGCATCCTCGCGCGGATGGCGCAGCCCGCGAGCGACTGGCGGGCCGTGCTGGCAGACTGCCTGCCCACCAGCCGGGTGTTGCCAGAAGTACATCTGGCCCAAGGTACCCCCAGGGTTCTCGGGGGTGCCCCAGACGGCCTCCAGGGCACCCCTCACGAGGCCCAGAGGGCTCCAGGGCCTCCAAAGCGGAGCGAAAAGCTGGAGGCACCTGGGGCCAGGAGCACTTCTAGCAACACCCGAGCCAGACACGCGCGCAGACTGGGCGAGGGCGGTGGTGCCGGCAGCGCCCGCAGCGCCGACGGGCGGGAAGAGGCGCAGGAGCCGCAGAGGGCGCCTCGGTGACTCCGCCTCGCGCGCCGCGAAAAGCAATCCCCCTGCCGTTCCGTCCGCCTCCGCTTCCCGCCGCCGTGCGGGCGGTCGTCGGCGGCGCTCCCGCGGGCGGCGCCAGCAGCCGCGGCGGCCCCAGCAGTCGCGGCGGCTCCTTCCGTCCCGTAGTGCTTTCGGGTCCTCCACGGGAGACAACATGATTGACCGGCTCCATTCCTCGAGCCCCCGAGAACCCCGAGAGGTGCTTCAGCCGAGACGCCAGCATAGTTGGCATCTGGGGCTCAGGAGGGGCAGAAGTCACTCCCTCCCCCACCTCCTCGAAGTCACATCCTCCTCCTCCTCCTGCTCCTGCGCCTTCCTCCTCCTCCTCCTCCTCCTCCTCCTCCTCCTCCTCCTCCTCTCCCTCCTCCTCCTCCTCCTCCTCCTCCTCCTCTTCCTCCTCCTCGTACTGATCCTCGCCCTATCCTCCTCTCTCCGTCCCGTCCTCCTCCTTCCTCCTCCGCCTCCCCCTCTGAGTGGGCCCCGGGCGGAGGTCTTCGGGCCGTGCCTCGGATCTGCGTCGGGGAGCCCCGTCGTGGTCGAGGCTCGCCGTGGGCGACGCCTCGCTCCTCCTCCATTGCCCTCGCTCCTCAGTGCCCTCGCTTGCCCTCCTCCTCCTCCTCCTCCTCCTCCTCCGCCTCCTGTGCCCTCGCTCCTCCTCGCTCCTCGCTCCTCCTCCTCCTCCTCCTCCTCCTCTTCCTCCTCCTCTCCTCCTCCTCCTCTCCTCCTCCTCCTCCATCCTCCTCCGCTCCTTGTTCTGGGCTCCTGTGTCACTTTCTTCTGGGTACCCATACTTCTCCTCCTCCTCCTTCTCCTCTTGTGCCCTCCTCCTCCTCCTCCTCCTCTCCTCCTCCTCATCCTCCTCCTCCTCCTCTCCCTGTGCCCTCCTCCTTCTCCTCCTCCTGTGCCCTCCTCCTCCACCTCCTCCTCCTCCTCCTCCTCCTCCTCCTCCTGTGCCCGTCACCGAGCGCTGCTCGCGGGCAGTGGCGCGGCGGCGGACGCTGACCACGGCACTTCCGAGAGTAGCGCGCGGATGCTAGCTGCACGTGGAGTGTTTGCGGTGAAACGAAATGTCTCGGAAAGGGAAAAAAACACAAAGAATCGTCGATTCTCAGGAAAAGATGGGAACATATGGGAAGTGGGGGGGAGGGAAGAAGAAAACTCAAAAAAAAAGAGAGAGAGAAAAAAAAACGTATGGGGAATCCTGTTATTTATGTGTATTCATTTAATCGCTTCGCTCATTCCGCCGGCCCTCGAGCGCTCTATGGGGCCTCTTTGAAGCCTCTTGCGGGCTTCTTTGGGGCCTCCTAGGGGCCTCTTGGGGGCCTCTTGGGGGTCTCTTTGGGCTCCTTGGCGGCGTCTTGGGGCCCCCTTGGGCCTCTTTGGGGGCTCTTGGGGGCCTCTTGGGGCGGGGCAGTCGAGTGCACCCCCTTCGGAGGCCACGATCCTCGTGAGGGGTGTCGAAAAAAGGCCCTCAAAACGATCTCTGAGTAGACCTGGTCGGGCTGCGGTCGGGATACTTTTCGCCGGGGGACCCCCAGGGGCCGCCCCGCGCGCGCGAACTAGAAATATTGGTAACCAGTTGCCGGAGATCTTAGCACGCCTCTGGCCCGTTGGGCCGGCGAATTTGTGTGTCCCTGGGCCCCTTCGATGTCAGAGGTCCGCGCGGAGGTCTGGGGGCCTGCGCCGCACGAGGCGCCGCCCCCCCCCGCGCGCCCCGGAGCGCGCCGGGGGGCGGCGGGCCCATCGCCGGTCCAAGAACTCCGCGCGGAGCTTCGGGCGTTTCTGTCTGCGTGCTTAGTACAGTGCCGTTTTAGTACATGCTCCGCGTGCGGATCACGTATTGAAGATGCAGGGATGAGTTCATGCATACATGTGTTCATACATTAATGCATCATATATTTTGAAACATCCTATGTATTGAACGCTGCCCTGTATTCATTATTATTGTGCTTCTTCTGCGTATTCTTCTTTTTTCGTCATCATCATTATCACCACCATCATCATCATCATCACCACCACCACCATCATCATCATCATCATCATCATCATCATCATCATCATCATCATCATCATCGCGTTCCTCATCATCATCGTTTCCATCAGCATTATCATCATCATCATCATCATCATCATCATCATCATTGTTTTCATCATCATCATCGTTTTCATCAGCATCGTCATTCTCATCACCACCATCATCATCATCACCATCATCATCATCATCAGCATCATCATCATCATCATCATCATCATCGTGTTCATCATCATCATTGTTTCATCATCATCATCGTTTTCATCAGCATCGTCATTCTCATCATCATCATCATCCATCATCGTCATCCATATCATCACCACCATCACCAGTATCCTCATCATCACCACCATCATCCGCACCGGCGTTGTCATCAATAATATCATCACCAACATCATTGCCATCGGCATCATCACCATCATCATCAGGACCAGCATCATCGCCGTCAGTATCCTTCTCCTAATCACTATTACCATCAGAATCATCAGCAACATCAGCATCATCAGCATCATCAGCATCACCATCATCATCACCATCGCTATTATCATCGCCCGCATCATCGCCAGCATCATCACCATCACCTGCGTACTCATTATCACCATCAGCATCAACACCATCAGCATCATCACCATCATCGTCATCACCACTACCATCACCATCTCCATCTCCATCACCGTCACCATCACCATCATCATCAACATCAGCATCGCCTGCATCATCACCACCATTTGCATTCGCAGCAGCAACCGCACCATGATCCTCACCATCTTCATCTTCTACAGTGGCAACCCATGCCAAGAAACACCCTGCTTGGCTCCAAGGTGCCCTGGGTCTCTTTGGTTTCGATGGTTTTGCTGCGGAAAGCGTGGCGCTCCCACACCAGAAATCCATGGACGTCCTGGGGTCTCAGGATTGGCTTTTTCGTGGAGGGTTCCTTGTGGAAGGGCCCCTGCTGTAGGACAACCGCTCCAGAGCACAGTTTCTTTTCGCTCAGGAGGAAAACAGACACACAGACACAATTCATCGTCGATTCCCCAGAAAATATGGGAAACCATGGGAAGTGGGGGGGAAGGCAACAGCCCAGAACATATGGGACACATATGGGGAATCCTGTTATCTGTTTGTATGTATTTGTGTGTCCCAGGGCCCCTGCATTCGCGCCTCCCCCCCCTGGGACAGGAGCAGTGGATCCTGTTCACCGAGCGCTTCGGGCAGGGCGGCAAGCGGGACCCCAAGTTCTACGACGTGGAGGGGACGGGGGGGGAGGGCGCCCCCGCACGGCAAAGGCGGGGCGCTGGCGCTGTGGATTACGAGGGGTCTCCGAACCCAGGTGGCGGCGGAGGCGGAGGCTTATCGAGGAGGGCACTGCCTGCGGCCACGTCGGCCAGGCAGCAGCACCCGGGGCAGGAGATCCTCCGCAGAAGATCTCCCGCCCTCTGCTTCGGCAGCGTGTGGTGCAGAGTGCTCTCCTTCGCTCCCTTTCCCTTCCTCCTCTCGTTGCGGAGTCTGATGCGTTGCGTTTCCTCCTCCAGGATGGGGCCAGCAGGTCCTGGCCCTGTCCATCCTTCCCTTTCTACACCTCCCCCTTCCCCTGCTCATGTCCCTCCCCCTTCCCCCTCCTGCCTCCTTCCCCCTCCCTCCTGGCGGGGGGCGTCTGTCCCTCTGTCCCTCCTCCTGTCTCCTCTGTTACTCCCTCCCTTCAGCCCCCCAGGGGCAGTCTAGGCGACCAGAGGGGGGCGACGAAGGAGCAGAGGGACTTTATCTTGAACGGGGGGAGATGGGGGCGAGGGGTGGAGGTAGAGTCTTGTTTCCTAACCCTCCTGTGGTGTTGAGTCCCCGTTTTGAAGAGACAGCGCCCTGTGTTCTTCACTCACTTCTCTTTCCTCCCCCTCCTCCCTCCTCCCTCCTCTCATTCCTGCCTGTGCCCTCCGCATGTCAACCATTTCGGCCCACCCCTCACGCGCTTTGCGCCCCTAGAAGGCGCTCCACCGAAGCTTCCCGTGGCTGCGCTCGCAATGGCACCACCGAGCTCATTTCGGCAATGTCTTCACACGTTTCGATGCCACATAGAAAGCGCAACCGAAGGTCCCAGTGGCTGCGTTCGCATGTCCCCACGGCACGCATTGCGGCACACACACCTCACACGTTCCGTGGCCCCTTAGGGACCTCCACCGAGGCCTTTGTGGTTGCGATCGCATGGCACCACCACGTCTATTTTGGCAAACCCCGCACACGTTTCGTTGCCACATGCGGAGTGCAACCGAAGGCCCCAGTGGCTGCGTTCGCATGACACCACCGTTTTCATGCCGGCACGCACTCACACGTTTCGTTGCCACATACGGAGCGTAACCGACGGCTCCATAGGCTGCGTTCGCATACCCCCCACCGCACACATATTGGCACACCCTTCACACGTTACGTGGCCCCGTAGTGAGCTCCACCGACGGCTACATTCGCACAGTCCCCACGTCGGCACCGCACCGATTTCGAGGTACCCCTCACACGTTTAGTGGGCCCACAAGGAGCTCCACCGAAGTCCCAGTGGCTGCGTTTGCATGGCGCCACCGCATTCATGTCGGCACACCCCTCACACGCTTCGTTGCCCCTATGGGGAGCTCCACCGAAGGCCTCAGTGGGAGCGCCCGCATGGCACCGCCGCATCCATTTCGGCATACCTCTCAAGCGCTTCGTAGCGGCATAGGGGGTCCATCGAACGCCCCAGAGGCTGCGCCAGCGTGGCGCAGACGCGCCAATTCCGGCGAACCCCTCACACGTTTCGGGGCTCCAAAGGGAGCTCCGCCGAAGACCACAGTGGCAGCGCCAGCATGGCACCGCCGCGCCCATTTCGGCACACTCATCCATCACACGTTTCGTGACCCCATAGGGATTTCCATCGAAGACGATACCTACAACCACGGTGCTAGCACCTGCATCTGGTTGGGTCCTTCGCCAGGATAACTTGGAAGTGGCGCGTGGCACCTTCAAGAGGATGAGGTGGGCGAGGAGGCGGAGGAGGAGGAGGAGAACGAGGAGGAGGAGGAGGTGGAGGAGGAGGAGAAGGAGGAGGATGAGGAGGAGGAGATGGGAATGTGGCTCGGGGGAGGTCGGATGGCGTACTGTTCTCGGTGCGGGGCTTTTGGTTCGGAACGCTCCAGATTTGTTCGGGAACCTTGTAACGGGGGGCCTGGCAACCGAGACGCTGCCAACTCTCTGAGGCTTTTGAAGTCGGGTGTCGACCCTTCCAATGGCTCAGTTTTTGGCAGGATTTATCCAGTTTCACACATCCTCGCTTCTCCGCCGCCGCTGCCAACTCCCTGAACAGCCGCCGCGTGCAGCACGAGGACCAACCCTTTTCTCGTTTCTCTGTGTTCTTTTCTTTAACGGGCATGCTGCTGCGCTTATTGTGTGTACAGGCGGTAACTTGTTCTTTTCGCAGAAGGACGCAGAAGGAGGAGTAGGAGGAGGAGGAGGAGGAGGATGAGGCGGAGGAGGAGGAGGAGGAGGAGGAATGGAATCTGTTATAATGTGGACTGTTCATTCCTCACCTCCTCGAGGGCTTTCAGCTCGCATGCTCTGCGCCCGAACGGGCAGTTCTTCGAGAGGCCTGCGCCGTTCCGCCGGCCTCCCAGGAGAGGGATGACGTCAACGGGTGAGACCTTCCGGGGCCTCTTGGGGACCCTCCAGGGGCCTCTCTTGGGCCTCTCTTGGGCCATCTTGGGGGCCTCCTCGGGCCTCTTGGGAGTTTCCTGGGCGCATGCTGGCGGTCTCGGGGTCCTCTTGGGGCGTTGCTTGTGGCCTTTCGCTCCTCACCTCATTCAAGACTTTCTGCACGCATGCTCTGCACCCGAACGGGCTATTTTTTCTTGTCGCATTCTCACTGCCTGTCCTCTCACTCCTGCTTGCTTTTATCCCCTTAGCTCGGCTACCTGTTTTGTTCACAGGCCACTGCTCATCGCCTAGGTCGGTATCTCTAAATTGCCTGGCCTGTCTTCAGGCGCGGCGATCATTGATCAACGTCGGGGTAACGCAGAAGGGAAGAGAAGGAGGAGGAGGAGGAGGAGGAGGAGGAGGAGGAGGAGGAGGAGGAGGAGGAGGAGGAGGAGGAGGACCGGGTGCGCGGATCAAGGGATCGGGAAAGGGAGCGAGCCCGGTGGATGGCCAGACGTGCTGAGACGTTCTTGCTCGATGGGTGGGTGTCGACATCGTTTGAGCCGGCTGAGGAGCTGAGGTGGCCCAGCACAGGTTCCAGCCGCCGCAAAGGGGGGCAAAAGGTGCCCCCTCGTCGCCACCGTTGGACGCGCGCGACTCTAAGCACTTGTTAGTTTCGACCCAGGAGGGGTCCAGGGATTGATTTTGAACGGATTTGTCTCCCCCACCCCTGTTGACAGATTCTCTTCAGGCCCACCCAGCGCAGACCCCCTGGTCGCCTCAAACGACATCCTTCCTTGCTTGCCATTTCAGGCGACGCTATCTCGGGGTGGGTGTTGACGCATTCCAGTGAACGGGTGCTCCCTTACTGCCCCCCGGGTGGTAAGGGAGGTTGGGCCTTGCGCAGTTCCAGGTTCCCCTAAACGTTCTTCAACAATCACGGAACTTCCGTCTTGGCCGTGCTTTGGCTGCGTGTCGTGCCATTTGCCTTGCCCGCTTTGTCTAGCCTGCTTCCTTCGAGAACGCGTGAGGTACGAGTATGGCTCGGCGCTCGGGTCGGGCTTAAATGATATCCTTTTCCTTCCTCTCTCCTCGTCCTTCCCTCCTGAGCTTCCGACCGGGAGCCGCAGGCCTTCGCTGTGTCGAGGTTCTAGGCGGGGAGCTCGGGTTGCTTCCGAGGGCCCCTGGAGGCATGCAGGCGAGAGCGTGCCAGCGAGATGGCAGGATCTATTATCACCAGGTTGAGCTTGACAATTTCGGGCTCCACATCCGGCTTTCACCCTTAAGCTCTGTGGCTTAATTTGCGAATCGTTCTGCCCGCCATTTTACACATGGCTGCGAAACATGAGGAAGAGCTGGGCGTCACCTTCATGACTACCGCCTCCGAGGCCAGGGGCTTGGATTGGAGCAGTCAGCTTTCGTAGAGTCCCTCCCCTTTCAGGGAAATTGCTTATCGAGGGCAGGAGTTCATCGAAGGAAGGAGTTTTCATCGCGGGAATGAGCTCATCGGGAGGGGGAAAAACACACAGACACAATTAATCGTCGATTCCCCAGAAAATATGGGAAAAGATGGGAAGTGGGGGGGAAGACAAACACCCAGAAACTATGGAAAAATATTGGGAATCCTTTTATTTGTGTGTATTTATTTGTGTGTCCTTGGGCCCCTTCAAAGATTCCTGCCTGGCCTCTCCTCGGGGGCAGGAGTTCCTCGACCGCTTCTTCAAGGGCTGGGACGCTGGGGAGCTGCTCGAGGGCAAGGCAGATGAGCCGGGGCCCCGGAGACAGATCGGGCCGCGCGTTCTGGCGCAATCGTCGTCGTCGTCGTCGTCGTCGTCGTCGTCGTCGTCGTCGTCGTCGTCGTCGTCGTCGTCTTCGTCGCCGTCATCGTCATCGTCATCGTCAAGTGGGCCCTGACCGACATCTCGGCCGACGGCGGTCAGCGCTTCTGGCGGGAGCGCGCCGATGTTTTTGACCAGATCTGAGGCCCCCTGGGGGTTAGGGCCCAGGCTCTCGTGTTCCCCGCCTGTCGCCTCTGCGGGCGAGGCCGACGGCGAGAAGTTATGCCCGCGCGCACATGCGTGCGGAGTGCACTCGTCTGTGCATACGTGCATGTGCGCTCCATGCTTTCGGCTGCTTAGGCATAGTCCAACTTGCACGAAAGTGTGTGCGCCTGTGACGGGGGCCGTAGCGCGTACGGTCAAGTGCTCGGGCAGGTACCGACGCGTAATGTAGCAGATGTGCTTGCATGCCATCGGGTATGCTTGCATGCAGCTCTGCTTCAGCGTCCTTTAAGCCAGCCTTCAGTCTTGCTTTCGGCTTAGAATTGGTTGCCTTCGAGCTGTTTGTTCGCCTATCATTACCTTGCCTTCACCTTGCCTCTGCCCTGCTCGCGGCCTGCCTTGGCCTTGCCACCGCACTGTTTCTACACTGATCTCAGCTTGGCATCAATATTTCTTCCAGCGTGCCTTTTTGGCTTACCTGCAGCTTTCTCTTGACGTGCAGTCTGGGCTTGCCCTCTTCGGGCAACAACTAATTACATAAACGTAACAACTCGGATTTCTCGCGGATTTCTCGCGTCGGCGCTTGACCCCCTGGCTTGGCGCACGGAGCGCGCCAGGGGCGGCGCCAGAGGCGCCGCCAGAGGGCCATCATTTGTTCCCTGCGGCCTTCCTCTTTGGCGCTCTGGACAATTTGCCGATCGGCTGCCCCGATTCGCCCCACGCTGGTGCGGACTGCCCCTGCCCCGCCGCCGACGATTCAAGGATTTGTCCTCCGACCCTCGAGCTGATCCTCGATTCCTCGTCGGTCCCCGATGCCAGGGGGCCACAAGCGAACCCTACCCCTACCCCCCACGATTTCTGAGGGGGAGGGTGGGGTTCACTTTGTTCGGGAGCTCCCGAGCGAGGTGAACCCCACCCTCCCCCTCTCAGAAATCGTGGGGGGTAGGGGTCGGGTTCGCATGTGGCCCCCCATACAATGTCCAACAGCGGATCCTGTTGATTTTGAACAGGACTCGCTGCCCACGCCGCCGCGGCCCGTGTCCACTCGAGACAGAGGGTCGCTTGCCCGACAGCGGCCGCTGCTGGTTTGGGACAACATTCGTTGCTGCGCAATGTGTGCCCCTTCTCCCCGCACCCCTCTCGGGCGTCCAAAGGGGTGCGCTGGGCGGTCGCTCCGCACAGGGGGGCTGCGCATAGAGAGTGACGAACGAGCAACACACACCCATACCCATCGGGGGGGTCGTTGAGAGGAGGACTGGCTATGGGTATGGGTGCGGGTTGTCGGACCCTGGGGAACGCTCCCGTTCGAGCGGGGACCCCCATTCGACAACACTCACCCATAGCCCTCTCCGACCCCCCTGTGGGTATGGGTGTGGGTGTGTGCGCGCAGGCCCCTCGGCCGGGCGCCCCTCCTGGGCCGGGAGGGCGCCTTGCGGGGCCACGGCCTCGGGGGGGGGGGGCAATGAGCCTAGAGCCCCTTCGCGCTGTGGAGAAGAAAACACGACGGGGGAGGTTTTGCGCTGCTTTCAGCCTCCAGGGGGCCCTGCCGAGCCTCGGGGCCGTCGAAAAGCGATTCAGAATGGAAAACCCGTCCCTGGGAAGGAATCCAGCCCACTGGGGGTCGGCGCTGCCGAAAAAACAAACACGACGTCGGAGGTCTGGGCGGGCAGCATCGTGTCGCGCTGCCGGTCCTTGCCCACCACGCTTCGGCGCGACAGGCCTTCCACGGCCCAGCCCCCGCGAGTCAACGTCTCGAGTTTTTTTCCGGGCCTCCCGCCCCGCGGAGTGGAGCGACACGCTGTCAGCTTGCACGGCGGAGCGTGTCGCTGGGGCCGCCGCCGCGACACGCTAAGCAACAGTTCCCGACCGTGGGCTCATGTCCGGGTTCGAGGTTCGAGGTTCGAGGTTTTGGGGCGTCTGGTCGGTTCTCGGTGGTTCTCTGGTCTCGGGGCGCGTTCCGGCAGCTGCGCCTCGCCGAAGACGTTCCGAGGGTTCCTGGATCGCCCCGAAGGACCGCCGGAGAGCCGAATGATGACCCGAAAGTCAAGGGGACGGGCTCAGGTCAGGGGGGAGGGGGTGAATCGACCCCCAATCGCCCATCGATCGCGGATAGGGGCCCGTCAGCCCACCCCGCCCAGGATCGTGCGGTTCCGCTATCGCTGTCGCCGATTTATTGGCGATGTGTCGCCGGTTCCAGGTCGATGACCCCCGCCTGAACCCAGTCCCACCCCCTGTCGTTGCCCCTCAGGCGCGCAGACCTCCCTTGTGGCCGTCCTCGAACTCCATTCGGCGGCGCGAACGAGGCGGTGGGGGGAGGGGGGTGGCTTCAGACGGCTTCTTAGAAGGGATCGGAGCCTACGATTAAGAAGGCAAGCGAAACGAGGGCGGCTCGGCCGGCAGAAGCCGGTGGAAGTAAAGGTTGCCTCCCAAGAGGCGTTTGCATTTTCGGGTTCAGAACTTCTGGAGGTCCGGGGCCCTCCTGGAGCCACTTTGTGGCACTCATGGGGCCCTCTTACTCAGGCAGCTTTTGGGATTACGGCAGCCCTCTTGAAGTCGTTTTTCACCCCGTCTTTCTTGAGGCCCTCCTTGGCTCGAGCCCTCGTCGGCAGGCGGCGGAAGGTCGGCGGAAGCCTGCGGAAGTAAAGCGACGGCGGATCCGCCGGCAGAAGCCGGCGGAGTGTAAGTCAGACGTCAGCAAATTTGGATCACGTTTTTGTTAATCGGCCATGTGTGTATGCGTATACATATACACACTATCTCTCTCTCTAATTTTCGTTGTGCTCCTTGTCATGCTGGGCAAACGTTGCCAACCATATGCGTATGTGCCAGCTTTCAAGGCCATATTGTTTTGCTCGCCATTTTGCAGTTGTGCCTCCTACCTGGCAAGCAGGAAGTACCTCTGTAACGATGCCTTCAGTCTTGCTCATCGTTAGAAGAAGGAACAAACGCCATAAACATACACTTTCGGCGCTCCGCGCCAGGGGCGGCGCCAGAGGCGCTGCCAGGGGGGCCCAGCGCGGATCCAAGAAATCCACGCGGATCGCGAACAGATCATGTCTATGGTGTTTTTTCTTGTTCTTATAGTACTGTCTTTGCCGTCCGCCCTCACCGAAGCAACTCCATCTCGCTTGTTCTTTCGTTCTATATCTCGCTGCCTCGCTCGCCTGCCGAGGTATGAGGAGGCGCCCGACGGCAGCTGGGCCCCCCCTGGCAAGCGCGGTCGCCACAGCTTCGGGGATCCCGCGGATGTGTGTGGCACGGCGCCTCGCGGCATCGCAGATTTCGGTGGCAAGTCATGGGAGCCTGCTATACCCTCTTACTTCAGTCTTTAGCATCGTCTAGGCCTCCCAGATGGGGTCTGAGTAGATGGGGTCGGCGGATGGCGCCGCATCGCCGATGCATCGGCGATGCCGCTCTATGTGGGGCCCGATTTTCTTCACGCCGACATCGCCGATGCGTCGCCGACGTCGCCGATGCATTGCTGATGCATCGCCGATGCATTGCTGATGCATCGCCGATGCGTTGGCGATGCGGCGCGATCCTCCGACCACATCTACTCGGCCCCATTAAGGAGGCCTCGACATCGAATCGCGTCTGGGAGTCAATGAGGTAGCGCCGATTTGGCGTCGATTTAGCGTCGACTAGCGTCGATTTAGCGTCGACCAGCGTCGATTTAGCGTCGACCAGCGTCGATTCAGAAGAGCCGACACGATGGTATGGGAGGCTCCCATGATGGTGTCATAGTTGCACACCTTGCGCGGCTTTGCGCCGGGAGTCTCGCGGATGTGTGGCGCACGGCGCCGTCCGACGAGGTCTTGTCTGGCTAGGGCAAGCGGCACGAACAGCCTTGCCCGCCTGTGGCGCTCACATCAGTACCGATGTGTGTCAACGTAGCAGCTGATCCTGGGTGTTCACGGGTTGGGTGTTTGTATGTGTCTCGTTTTCGAGTGAGGTGTCCGCGGCGGGGCATCGTTGCAATGCGGCCGTCAGCATGCGATCGGGTGCCAGAGTTGTGTGATCGAATTTTGGCATGAGGTCTAAGCGTGATCTCTTGCGGAGTCGGCCGTCATCCAAATCATTCACGCAGATATCGAGAGGCCATGACTGTTTTTGCACAGCAACTCACCGCTTACGGCCGTGCATCGTTTGGTCGTCAAGCTTCTGGTCTAGATGCTGTCATGCATCTTGCAGTGATTATCTGCTTCTTGATCCTGCGCCCCCTGCTCAACGCAGCCACCCAACCTGCGTGACGACGGCCGAGACCGACCGCCGAGGCTCGCCGAAGAAGCGCCGAGCACCGCCATAGACCGCCAAGGGCGGACGAGGGACACCGACGGCCCATGGGTTGCCAAGGGGTCCGCGGTCGAGTACAGTCAAGACGCTGAAATAGGGAACAGTTTGGGTTCGGAAGGGGCTCGATGTTCCTTAGACTCCTCCAGTGCTGTTCATCTTGCCCTCCTGGGTCCCGGAGGCGCTCTCAGGGCCAAGGAGGGGCTTCGTTCCTTGCTTCGCGTTCCTTCTTTCCCGACTGTACGTAACGGTGTCTGCACGTGGACCTGCGCTGGGCTTTGGCCAGCGCGGTCTCGATGTCAGCAAGGTCCCCGTGGGAACCGCGACAACACGTGGGGCAACGAGGACCGCCCGCTGCCGCGCGGCCGAGGGGCAGGCAGTCAAGGTCGACTGGGAGACCACACGGTAGAGGTGGCGAGTCTTGGGGGGGTGGGCTGGGGCGTGCCATGGAGGCAGTGGACCAGGTCAACCGCGAGGGCGCGAGGATGATCGCACCTCGCGTCTCGCGGCCCGAGCCGGAGAGGTACTCTTCTCCACGGGGGCGGCGCGGGAGCGAGGAGATAGTCTTTCGCAGTGCGAGACGCGAAAAATGGTGCCTGAGTCTGCAGTTCTGATGACACTGGTTAAGGTCGCTGTAACCATGTCCTTTGTCGGCGGCGAGCGAGAGTGAGACGGAGCAGGCTTTCTCAGAAGGCAGAGGGGCTTTTCAGAAACCCTCAGGCCTTGTGCGAAGTTTTCTGTGTCTTCGGGGAAGGCTTAGAACACTTCTCAGAAGGCCGGGGGACTTCCGAACCTTCTGAGAAGGGTCGCCCCTTCTTATTTCCATCCTGGTTCGTCGCCGATGTTGTACTGCCAGCAGTGTTACAACTTGGCGTGGTTAATCGTGGCAGATACCTGTGCTGACTGTGGAGGCGGAAGTGGGGCGCCTGTAAGGGTAAGTGTGCGATGATTTCTGAAGCCATGGCCCTACGTTCTAATGAGGGAGCTGACGTTGAACGGAAATAATTGTGATCACCATGACCACGAGCAGCTAATGTTGACGACCGTTTTGATGTTTCCAAGGGCGTCGCATGCAAAAGTGCGTTCGCGGAGGGGGTGGTGTTGAGTATGCCTCTGGCACATGTGCCTTTGGCACGAGCTCTCATTTGTGTAGGCGCTCGAGGGGTCGAACATGAGGCCAGTGGATTCCTCACGCGTGCAAGCTACATGCGCGGACGGGGTGGTGTCGAAGATGCGAAGGAACGTGTGCCTTTGGCACGTGTTGTCACGCGCGTAGGCGCCAAGTTGGGGTGTCGAGCACGCGGCCAGGCATGTGCAAGTACGTGCATGGCGACAGGCGGTGGGGGTGGGGAGGGAGGAGTGGAGGAAACGTACACCATAGCCTCCTTGAAGCGTAGGCGGAATAGCAGCATAGCATGACATAGCATGGCGCAGCATAAGTCAGTGGAACATCACCCAGGGAATTGCGTAACGCGCAGACTCGTACCCCAGCACAGGCACGGCACGCGTGTGGAAGTCATGTCACCATAAGGATTGTCTGAAGTTCCCTGCCATTTTCGTGAATCCCTCAAGCTTGTCGTTACGTGTTCTCGGTTCTGTGTGTGTGCGTGTGCGGCTCTCTCTCTCTCTCTCTCTCCCCTCCTCTCTCTATCTCTAATGTCTCTCGCGTTTTTTTTTTTTTTTTTTTTTTTTTTTTTCTCTCTCTCTCTCTCTCTTTCCTCCCTCTCTCTTCTCTCCCTCCCTCTCTCTCTCGTCCCCTGCCCGTGCCTACTCCGCTGATCGGCGCAGCCGCTTCCGCACCTGCGCTGCCCCCCCCCTCCTCCCCCCCGGCTCGCCCTCCGCCCGCGCACTCCGCCCTCGCCGAAGATGTCTCTCTCCCGCCGTGGCCACGCGCGACGCCTCGGACATCCACGGGCGACGCGCATTGCGGTCGGGAGCGAGGTGCGAGGGCGGGGTCGGCTCGGGGAGGGCGCCCTGCTGTCACCGCCTGCCGAACCACCCCAGCCCAGCCCGCCGGCCTCGAGGTGCCCTCCATCCATTTCCAGTTGGGGTGGGGGGGGGTGTCGGGGAACATGGGGAAAACACGCATGAGGCCCCCCCCCCCCCCCCCCCCGAAATTCGGGGCTTCGGGTTGGGTTGTGGTGGCCCGGTTGGTAGTCATGGTGTTCTTCGTGTTCGTGCTTGTGGGATGCTCTTGTGCATCCCTGGGGGGGAGGGCGCCCTCGAGCGTTCTCCAGCTCGGCCAGCGGAGGGTCCTCTGTTCTCGGGGGATGCTCTCCCGTCCTAGGTCCGGCGGCAGCGAGACGGAGCGACTCTCCAAAGTCACCCCCTGCATCCTTCCTCATTCGGCCCTCCCTTGGCCGTTTTCGCTGGCCGCGCCCCGCTCGGAAGGCGTCGACATGGCCTTCCGAGGCCCGTGCATCCGCATCGCGCGTCCTTATCATATAATCGTTGGCTGTACTCTGGGGGGCTCGCCGTATACACCACGTCGTTTGGTCGGTCAAGGAGCCACTCGGCGAAGGATTTCGGTGGATAGACGCTCCAGCGTCCTAGAGGTTGTGAAGCTAGGGCCTCTACACACACACACACCGGCCTCCTTGGACGACCAAGCGACGTGCAGTGTACATCGAGCTCCTTCCCAATTGCGACCTGGGCCTTCGACCGAATCTTTCTCTGTGGCGTCTTCCACGCCAGAATCCAAGGCCCATGTCGATCCGATCCGACGTCCGAGTCTGCCAGCCCGTTCCGACTCGATCCTGGCATTCGGATCATCCCGTGCGGCCCGATGCGTGCATGGCGCGGTTGTGCATTCTGGCTAGACCCAGTTGCTTCGTCTCCGACGCCGTGCCGACGCGGCTCGATTCGATGAGCGTTCCGACCTGATTCAGGAGGGACAATTATACCTGGCGACGTACCCAACCCTTGCGCAATGCGGGGAATAAGTACATCAGGATTGCTACAACGGGGGCGATGGCGTAACATGGACGCAATTGATTTTGCGAGCAACAATCGGAAGGCTCGCAGGCCCCCGATCAGGATCTAAGGGCTACGTGATAACAAATCACCCCCGTTGGCTGTGTCATGCGCCCGTTGCACCCAACGTATCCACAGCAGCTCTTGAGAACCCCCGCGGGATACGTGTAGGCGCAACGTTGTGGCCATCGCCCCGCAGATGGGCTGTTTCACAAATCACCCCCTTTGGCTGCGCCATGCGCCCGTTGCGCCTGACGCATCCCGCAGCAGCTCTCCAGAGCCCCCCCAGGGACGGCGAGGTCTCGCTCAGATCCCCGCGGCGCCTCACTCCGCAGGACCCACCAGCAGCCCTCGAAAGTGGCGACAGTGTGGCAGATCGCAGCCCCCCAGGGACGGCGGGGTCCCGCTCAGATCCCCGCGGTGCCTCATTCTGCAGGACCCACCAGCAGCCTTCGAAGGTGGCGACAGCGTCGCAGATGGCAGCCCCCCAGGGACGGCGGGGACTCGCTCAGATCCCCGCGGTGCCTCACTCCGCAGGACCCGCCAGCAGCCCTCGAAAGTGGCGACAGTTCGCAGATCGCAGCCCCCCAGGGACGGCGAGGTCTCGCTCAGATCCCCGCGGTGCCTCATTCCGCAGGACCACCCACCAGCAACCCTCGAAAGTGACGACAGTGTGGCAGATGGCAGCCCCCCAGGGACGGCGAGGTCTCGCTCAGATCCCCGTGGTGCCTCACTCCGCAGGACCCACCAGCAGCCCTCGAAAGTGACGACAGTGTCGCAGATCGCAACCCCCCAGGGACGGCGAGGTCCCGCTCAGATCCCCGCGGTGCCTCACTCCGCAGGGCCCACCAGCAGCCCTCGAAAGTGGCGACAGTGTGGCAGATCGCAGCCCCCCAGGGACGGCGAGGTCCCGCTCAGATCCCCGCGGTGCCTCATTCCGCAGGACCCACCAGCAGCCCTCGAAAGTGGCGACAATGTCGCAGATGGCAGCCCCCCCCCCACGGACGGCGAGGTCTCGCTCATATCCCCGCGGTGCATCACTCCGCAGGACCCACCAGCAGCCCTCGATCTTGGCGACAGTGTCGCAGATGGCAGCCCCCCAGGGACGGCGAGGTCCCGCTCAGATCCCCGCGGTGCCTCACTCCGCAGGACCCACCAGCAGCCCTCGAACGTGGCGACAGTGTCGCAGATCGCAGCCCCCCAGGAACGGCGAGGTCCCGCTCAGATCCCCGCGGTGCCTCACTCCGCAGGACCCACCAGCAGCCCTCGAAAGTGGCGACAGTGTGGCAGATCGCAGCCCCCCCAGGGACGGCGGGGTCCCGCTCAGATCCCCGCGGTGCCTCACTCCGCAGGACCCACCAGCAGCCCTCGAACGTGGCGACAGTGTCGCAGATCGCAACCCGTCAGGGACGGCGAGGTCCCGCTCAGATCCCCGCGGTGCATCACTCCGCAGGACACACCAGCAGCCCTCGAACGTGAGGACAGTGTGGCAGATCGCAGCCCCCCAGGGACGGCGAGGTCCCGCTCAGATCCCCGCGGTGCCTCACTCCGCAGGACCTTCCAGCATCCCTCGAAAGTGACGACAGTGTCGCAGATGGCAGCCCCCCAGGGACGGCGAGGTCCCGCTCAGATCCCCGCGGTGCTTCATTCCGCAGGACCCACCAGCAGCCTTCGAAAGTGGCGACAGTGTCGCAGATGGCAGCCCCCCAGGAACGGCGAGGTCCCGCTCAGATCCTCGTGGTGCCTCACTCCGCAGGACCCACCAGCATGCCCTCGAACGTGACGACAGTGTGGCAGATCGCAGCCCCCCAGGGACGGCGAGGTTCCGCTCAGATCCCCGCGGTGCCTCACTCCGCAGGACCCACCAGCAGCCCTCGAAAGTGGCGACAGTGTCACAGATCGCAGCCCCCCAGGGATGGCCAGGTTCGCGCAAGGCAATAGGAGACAAGACGGAAGCGGGAGGCGGGAGGAGGCGGGAGGCGGGAGGAGGAGGAGGAGGAGGAGGAGGAGGAGGAGGAGGAGGAGGAGGAGGAGGAGGAGGAGGAGGAGGAGGACTGGAGACCGCAGTGCTCTATTCAAAAGGATTTCCCAACCAAGTAGGGTTGGTAAAACACACAGACACAATTAATCGTCGACTCACAGGAAAGTATAGGGAATTATGGCAAGTGGGGGGAGGACGAGAATCCAGAAAATATGAGAACATATGGGGAATCTATTTATTTGTGTATGTGTGTGTGTGTGTCCCAGGGCCCCTTCACTGACATCATTTTTTGACTCGATGCCGACCGCTCGTCGACTCCGAGGGCCCCCCCCGGTGCTCCTCACAGTGGCTAGGACGGCACGGGCGTCTTCTTCGGCGGCCTCCTCAAGGACGTCACGGAGGACGCGCTGATGGCCTTCGCGGAGACCGTCGGCCCCGTGAAGGCGAGCGGCTTTACATCGGCGTGGCGCCGTCTGAACGCGCCACGGGAGAAGTCAGGGCTGGACCTAAACGGTGTTTTTGGCGATTTTGTGGGCCGTTTTCGTTTCGACTTCGTTTTGACGTAAAGGCGGATTCAAGACAAAAGCGAGGGAAAACGAAAACAAAACGAAAACGAAAAACACCGTTTAGGTTCAGCCCTGGGAGAAGTGTCCGCACCGACTCTGCGAGTGGGTCGGGTAGACCGGGCAGAGCGAGCCGAAGAGGACAGTCCAGCATGAACATGCACTCGCGGAGGTCCGAGCTCCGATGCTCCACCCGGCAGGTTGGGGTTGTCTCGGGTGGGGTTAGGACAAGGATACAAGCGTTCCAGAGCGTTCCGGGACGCTCTGAGAAAGCTGCGGCGCCCGAGACCCTCCAGAGCCGCCGGATCGCAGTGATTCTCGACTTGATTCTCGCCGAATTCGCCTCGTCATGGCTTATCCTCTCGATTCTCGATTCAGCCTCGCCCTGGCTTCGTGTTATTGCCAGGTCTGGCGAAAAGCGCTCCCGACCCGCGCTTCGCGCACACCCCGCTCCCGCCCCCAGGCCGCCGGGCCCCAGTATTATTCCCCAGGCTCATGGTATCCCACCGCGCGTCCTTCGGCGAGCCACGGCTGCATGCCGCGTCCGCCAGGCCCCCAAAGGGGCCTGGTAGCCATACCCCCATCTCGACTCCTACCCCCCCCTTGCTCCTATCCCTGTATCCTCAGCCCCATATCTGCATCCCCGCCCCAACCCCCCAACCCCCATCCTTATCGCTATCCATGCCCCGACCGCCCTGCCATCGTGGCCCCCCCAACTGTGGCCCCCCACTGTGGCCCCCCCAACTGTGGCCCCCCGTCGTCGTGACCCCCATCGTAACTGTGCAACGCTGTCTTTTGTCGTCTGCCGCCAAGATGTTATGTGTATGCCGTTGTTTGTCCCGTATGGAGGTTTACGGGCACGCTTCTGGCCGCCGCCACAGGAGGCCAGGGTCGGAGTCGGCCAGCCTGTGGTCAGCACCACCCAGCATACTTACCTCGAGATGTGCATCGGCCATGCAAGGGCGACGCGCAAACTCGGAAGTCCGATAGTACCAGCTGCGTGGCGGGCGCTTTCTGGCCATACCGCTCGGGAAACGATGTACGACTTGAATTCTATGTTCGGGTCGGACGTGCGTCTCTGCCAGGGACGCATGTTACTAGCATGTCCTTGTGCGTCCCATGTGGCAGCGCTCTGCCGGGTGCGACTGGTGCCTCGCACGCTGACGCTCTAACCACAGGGGTCGGTCGTCCCTGGCAGATGGCGGGGATGTGGAAATCGGCGGCGCGCCGAGAGCAGGCTTTCTCAGAAGGCGGCGGGCCTTCTGAGAAGCTGTCTCCGTCATCGCATAAGGCCCAGACAGCTTCTCAGAAGGCCAGAGGCCTTCTGAGCCTTCTGAGCAGGCTCGCCCGCTCTGCCTCTCCTCCGGAGCGCGCCGCCGAGAGCAGGAGGCTCACCATGAGGGGGGGGCTCGAAGTGTAGTCAAAGCTTCATAATCATAAGCTTTCGGAGGTCCGCGTGGGTTTTTCCGATCGGCGCTGGAACCGCCTGGCGGCGCATCCGGCGCCGCCCCCTGGCGCGTGGGGTCCAGCGCCGATCCAAGAACTGCTCGCGGACCTCCGAGAGCTTCTGTCGATACTGATTTTCCTTCTTCTTGGGGAGTTTCTTGCACGGAGTCGTCCCCTCATTTTAACCCGCAGGGGTCTCGGTTGTTCGGATAGGGGTGATGGTTAACAGGAGAGGCTGGACGCGGGTGGATGCTAGAGAACGGGGTGTTGGACGAGGCTGGAGGGAGGGATGCAATGGAGGACGCTGGTATATATCGGACTCTCTGCTCTTCTGTATGTATGTGCGTATGTTTGTGTATGTGTCTATGTGTATTAATGTCTACACATGTGTATGTGTATGTATGTATGTATGCATGAATAGATGTTTGCATGCATGCATGCATGCATGCATGCATGTCTGTATGTATACAGATATATGTATCGAAGACGCCTACGGCGAATCACCGCCGCCCCCTGCCTTTGTGGAAGCGCCTATGTGGCCGAACGTTGAGGCCAGACCTGCCAAGCCATCGGACCATGTGTTCCCCGAATCGGTTTGGAAAGCCTTCGGGGAACACGTGGGCGTCTTGATGGTCATCGTCGCCGTCTTGGAGGCCTCTTGGGCGATCTTTCGGCGATCTTTGGGGGCTCTTGGGCCGTCTCGGGCCGTCGGAAGGCCGAAAGAAGGGAAATGCCCAAATCCATCAAAAACCTTGGGAAAATCAGTGATTTTGGCATCTTTTGGCCTTCCTGGAGGCCCTCTTGGGGGCCTCTTGGGCCCTTTTGGGCCAGCTTCGAGCCAACTTCGGCCATCTTGGTGGGTTCCTGGCACGTCTGACGCCGTCGGGAGCCGTTTTGGGGGCCTGTCTGGGCCAACGGGGGACCCTCTTGGGGCGCTCCAGGGCCGTCTTGGAGGCCATCTTGGGCGTCTTGGAGGCCATCTTGGGCGTGTTGGAGGCCTCTTGGGCCGTCTTGGGGCCCTCTAGGGGCCATCTTGGAGGCCACTTGGGCCATCAGGGGGCTCTCTTGGGGGCCTCTTGGGCGATCTTGGGGGCTTCTTGGGCCGTCTTGAGCCGTCGGAGAGCCGAAAAGGCGCAAATGCCAAAATCCTTCAAAAACCAAGGGAAAATCAATGATTTTGGCCTCTTCGGACTCTCCTGGAGGACCTCTTGGAGGCCTCTTGGGCCGTCTGGGAGGCCTCTGGGGGGCCTCTTGGGCCGTCTTGGGCCGTCTTGGACTCTCTTGGGCCGTTTTGGAGGCCGTCTTGGACCATCTCGGGCGGACTTGGAGGCCATCTTGGGCCATCTTCGCGATTTTTTGAGGATGTCCCGAGCGAAACGGCCGTTTTTGCGCACGGTGGCGGGTTCTGCCGGAGCCCACTGGGGAGTTCTTTTGGAAAAAGAACCCAAACCAAAACCTAACAGCTCGTCCAGCACGCCGTGCACCCCTGCAAGCAGGGGGCGGCGGATCCAGCTGGCGGCGGCAAGTCCCGCCACCGTGCCAACCCAGCATTCTGGGTGGCGACTGTTCGGGGGGGCACGGGAGGCCTTCACGTGTGACGCCTCGTGTCTCCATGCTTGGGAGAGCCGTGATGAGGATGATGAGGATTATGAGGGTGATGATGATGACGTTGATGGTGGTAATCATGATGATGATGATCATCATCATGCAAGTGTTGATGATGACGCTGATGGTAATGGTGATGGTGATGGTGATGGTGATGATGATGCTGCTGACATTGATGATGTTGCTGCTGTTGCTGCTACTGATGATGATGATGATAGTGATGATGCTGAGGAGGACGATGATGCTAATATTTGTGATGCTGATAAGTCTGATGATGATGCTGACGATGCTGATGCTGCTGATGATTCTGATGATGCGGATGATGAGGAGGATTCGGATGAGGATGAGGATGAACATGATGATGATGATGATGTTGACTTTGATGATGATGCTGATGATGACGCTGATGATGATACTGATGCTGATGTTGATGCTGATTCTGATGCTGATGATGCTGATGATGATACTGCTGCTGCTGATGATGGTGGTGATGATTTTGGTGATGATGATGATGCTGATGATGATATTGATGCTGCTGCTGATGATGATTATGATGATTATGCTATTTTCTTTTTGTGTCGTAAGGGCTTCGCCCCCTGCCTCCGGTCCCCTCGGATAATGGAGTATGCAAAAGCTATGTTGTGAGGCCCGGGCGGCGTCGTGAAGCAGCGTCTGAGCTCCGAACGGGGGCCACTGGAGATATGAGCGTGCCGGAATCCATCAAACACCTAAGGGTCAACGCAGATGTTGGCCTCTTGGACTCCTTCTTCGAGGTACTCTTGGAGCGCTCTTAGTGGCCTCTTGGGAGCCTCTTGGGCCGTCTTGGGACCATCTTGGGCGCTTTGGAGAACCCTTGGGCCGTCTCAGAGGCCTCGGGGCCTTTTATGAAGGATTGTGGTCTCGAATGCGCGAATACTATATACTCAGCGGGGGACTTACTATGGATCGTGGCTTCGGGGACGCAGATATTATGTAATTTATGAGAGAGAAAGAGAGAGGGAGAGAGAGAGAGAGAGAGAGGGAGAGACACAAAAAAGAAAGTGAGAGAGATAGAGAGAGAAGATTGCCTCGGAGACGCAAATCTTGTTTTATCTACTCGGTTTTATGATCTCGGGAGCGCGAGCACAGCGCAATGAGCGAGGTTGTATGGCTCCTGGGACGCGAGTACCGTGTAATTTACAATGGAGTATGGCCTCGGGAGTGCGACTGGTGAAATTTACAAGGGATCATGGCTTCGGGGGCGCGAATATCATGTACTTCTACGTGTCCCAGGACCCCCCCAGAAATTCTGAGAACCCACCCAGGTGGTGGTAACCAGGGCCCTTTTCGGCTCCCCCCCTCGCGCGGTCTTTAATAATTTACAGTCGGACACGGAACGTAGGACGATAACATGGGAGACTTGAGACTAGAACTGGAGCAGGGGGCAGCAAGCCTAGCCCGCGGAGCCTTGTGCCCCCACAGGGAGGCCAGCGGATTATGATGATGATCGTGACGATGATGACGACGACGATGGCGTTGACGATGCCGCTGATCAGGATGATGATTATGACATTGCTTCTTGCGATGGTGCTGCTGTTGCTGCTGATGGTGATGATGATCAGGATTCTGATGAGGGGATGAGGACGATGATCTGGACGACGACGACGACGGTGATGATGAATCTGATGATGCTGCTGATGATGACGATGCTGATGCTGCCGATGCTGATGATGGCGATGCTGACGATGGCGATGGCGATGCTCATGACGACGATGCTACTGATGCCCATGACTGATGATGATGATGGAGATGATGACGACGACGCTGATGATGATCCTATTGATGATGCT